ATCTCTTCCCTGAACCTCCATAAACGTGTGCCAAAATTTCGTTTCTCTCTCTTGTTATCCTTTTTCAACTAACTTTTTGGGCTAGGGAAGAACCATCAGTCTTTTCCTCCGTTATAGGTATGTTTGTTCGTCTGTTCGCACCCATAGAGGAGAAGCTCCGTGGTCCAACACTTCTACTTTCTTTCACCCAACCGCAATTTCATAATCATGATGCTAATTAATATTCCGCAGACTCATTCCTACTCTCAACTTTATTCTCACAAAAAAAATATTCCATAAATAAATGGGACTTTAGTCTTCTATTATAATTTTTGTGGACATGACGTTTAAATTTAAACACATAAAAGTAAAGAAATAAGTAGCAGTGGACGTGAAAAGCAGGAAGGATGCGGACCTTCCTGTCCTCTCTCAGATTAATTAGCTTTATAATAATAAACGCAGCGGCATAGTCAACACTTAACAGCTCTATCTCATCTCTCTCCTCCAATCTCTCCCTTGCTCTGTTTTCAATGTGCTCCGATATTATATCATATTTTTCTGCCTTCATTGTATCTTTCCCTTCCTCTGTTCCTCTGCATCACCCCAGCCACCTCTTCCCTCCATGGCCATGGACGTCCAATTGCCTCTCTTATTTGCTTTTTCCTTCCCTGCTTAATATTTGCCTGCTTCTTCTTCTCAGCAGAATCACACAGGCACGGCAAAGTTACTGCTTGCTCTGCGTGTAATCAAACTTACAATTGTGGAAATATTAGCAACATCTTGCTTACCTCTTTCTGGGGACAGAATCGACTCCCTTGCTGTGGCGGCAGCAGTCAATTCAAGCTCACTTGCCGACATAAGACCACTTTCATCACAGTAGGCCAACAGAATTTCACGGTGGTTTCCATTAACCCGAGTTTTACACTATGAAACTGGTCCAGACTGCTCTCTCAGTTGCCTGTCCTTGGCATTTCACCAACACTTCCCTGGATCCTTCTCTCTTCCTCTTCTTCCGACAACTTGACGATTCAGAACCTGACCGTATTCTACAAAGTGCCCTTCTCATGTTTCAAGCCCAAGCAACATCACTTGCCATCCTGGTGAAAAGGTTGCTTTTTTCGCCAAGCAAGACGAGGCGCAGAAACTGCAAAATTTTTTCCGGATGCAAGGCTCGTAATAAATTCTAGTTCAAGGTGAGATTTCCGACGTTGAAGGCCAGGACGGGCTGAACAAATCTTTAAGGATGGGTTCGTTGTTCAGTATGTTGCCGACTGGGTTCGCTGCTCGGCATGCAATTCTTCGGGAGGAATATGTGGACTTACGGCCATGATCCTCCTCGATTTGCCTGTCATTGCCGGAACGGAATTCATCCCTATACCTGTCCAGAGGTATGACTTCCTGCCTTCCTTTGTGTAATTATTATTTCAACCATTTGTTCCCAATACCAAATGAGAAACTCGGACGTGTTTTTAACGAATAAAATACTATAAGCAGTAGGGTGATGAAGAGGAAGAAGAAGCGGTGATCTTCATTCCGATAGGAAAAGCATAGCAATGAATAAGTCTTAACAAAACAGAACAGAGACCGATACCGGAGTTTGTCAGCCGCAGTATTAGGTGCGGATGTTGAAACCTTGGGGGCCGTTGATAATCCTTGTTGGCCCTCAAGGCCTGTGGGAGTAGTAGTTGAGCGTCTGAGACCCGAGAGGCCTGCCATAAAGTTTAAAACAAATTAGAAAAAGGACAGCTTGAATGCTTGATTGAAGTAAATAGGATTAAAATGTGTTGTAATTTAATGGCATGAAACTAAGCCCCTTGTAACCTAACCTCAAGTCTGTTCTTTTTTTTTTTAAAAAGAAGAATTATAATAAAATCTAAAAAAAAATACTAACAAGTTCTAATAACAAGTTAGGAGTTGTCATTTTCTATTCTAATACTTATTATTATAAGCCGTTTAAATTATTATTAAAATTTTCTAATAATTATATTTTTTAAAGACTTGATTATAATTTTTCTTAAGATAATAATAGAGTTGAGGGCGCCCGGAAAAATCCGCGGATAGCGTCATCAAATGTGTGCTTAGTACATATTCATTAGACCGCAACTTGTGCCTTTATATCTACCGTTGAAGGCGTCAATGGTCTGACGCCAAAGTCACTCCTACTTCGCATTTTGGTTGTTGAAAACTCCTTCCACCTCTCTCTCTTTCTGTGACGTGACTCCCATTCTGTCGTCTCTCACACCAACCAAAAGTTGGGAATTTTCAACCTTGAGAGATTTCCCTGATTCGACGCCACATGCGTTCTTCAAAATTGTCCTCATGGCCTTATCTACTTCGATGCCCACTATTTTGTGTGAGTTTGCTGAGATTTTTAGTTCCGCTCCCCATTCAAATTCGTTGCCCCTGCCTTTGTGATATCATGTACATCTCATTCTGCAATTGTAGACATGCGTCTTTCTAAGAATATTTAAAATGATCTTCAGAGTATACTGTTTAATTTAAAATCCCAAACTGTGATCTGTGACTGTGACTCCTTTTTTAATTTTTCAAAAACATTAAAAGACTATTATTGTTTTCGGCGACTCTACGTCAACGGAGTAGCCCGATTGCCTGCAAAGTCTTGGACAGTGCCCTTCTTAATGGTCCACCTGCTCTCCATTTCATTTTCCTCCCTCCCTCTCCCTCACACACGGCAGTTTATCCCTTGTCCGCTTTTCCTTCTAACCTCACTCATCAAAGTTACATTCACTTTCTTCCCTGTTGTTTTTAGTGCCGTTTTCATGCTACTTGCCCAGGCAGCGCAGCCACCTGTCATGTACTGTCTCCTTATAAGAGCTAGTTAACTAATTTTAGTAAATATTAAAAAATTTGTTAAACTAATATTTGTAATGAATAGGTGCTGTCTTTTTAAAATACCCTTACTAATTAAGTACATTAGCTTTAATATTTAATGAAATATTCAATATGTGTAACTATTATAACACTATTTCTGTTCTTAATTATAAAACCTTATTAATAATCTATAAATGAGGTTGAGATAGTACTAGTTAAAAATAAAATAAATCAAATTAAGATAAAAGTTAATTTAACTGTTATACTTATATCTTATATCAAGTAGTAGCCCTTCTTTAACTCATTCGGTAGGTGCGCCCACAATTCCTGTCGCCTTAACGGTGCAAATGCTCGTCTTCTTGACTGCTGCTTATCTGCATCATGACGTCACCTTTGGTGAGGATGATGGGATCTTCACTCTTGATTGTTACACTGTCAGTTTATTTCTTCTGTGCCACTGCCTGCTTCTCTTTCGAGAAAGTATTACGGGAGCCATTTTACGATACATAGCCATAACCTTTGACTTACCAGAAGACAGTTCCTCAAAAGCTGAGGAAACCAAACTACGATTGGAAGTTAGCCCCCTTGTGATGTTATTTAATCCTTACGCATTGTATTGTCTTCCTCCATTCTTTCCAAATATGGGTTCATACGCATAACGCATACGAAATGATTCAAGTGGAGTGTGGTGGACGGGGGCAACCTTCGAAACATTCTCTCGTTTGTAGCAAGTCATTTCAGGCTGTAGAGCAACGAATCAAGACTCCATAAATTGCTCACATTAGACACACCTATTTTCCTGCCTGGCCTTTGCTCCTCTCTCCTAGCTTATAAGTACCAATGCTCTAATTACCTTTATTTGCTTAGCTTTTACTGATTACTGTTGCAGGAAGACATTTGAACTGGAAAGGGAAACTCATAGCAGGTAATGTCTCCAATTTCTTGTTAATATTCTTTTCCCCTGTTTTGTTTTGTATGTTCCCTTTCATTGAAGCCTCTTGCTATTTTTCCCGATCGAAACCCAGGTGCTGCTGCTTCTTCGTTCAGCGTGGTAGTTATGAGCATCGTCTTTTATTTCTATCTGCGCCGAAAGAAGAATCGTCATGCCAAATCAGACAAACAATCTCAGAGTCGGACCATATCTTCCGATTCCTCTTTAAAGGGCGCTGAGAAAGGAAGTAAATACTTTGGAGTCCACCTCTTCACATATAGCGAACTTGAAGAGGCCACTAACAACTTTGATTCAGCCAATGAACTTGGAGATGGGGGTTTTGGAACAGTTTATTGTGGTAAGAGTGGACAAACTTTATTCTATACGAGACTTGAGTTCGTACGTAATGTTTCTCAAGTGTTTACTATCATGCTTCTCAATAAACATACACCAACATGCAATAACAATTAGTTGAGGAATTTTTACGAAAAATCATCTAATTGGACAACCTACCTGTTAGTAAAACTGCACATAATCACTGACCAGGAATCATGGTTTGTGGTGTTTCTTGGTTGATCAAGGAAAACTAGGGGATGGTCGTACAGTTGCAGTGAAGAGACTGTATGAAAACAATGACAGGAGAGTTGAGCAGTTCATGAATGAAGTGGAGATCTTAACTCGTCTGCGCCACCAAAACCTCGTCCAACTTTATGGCTGCACTTCTCGCCATAGCCGTGAACTTCTGCTTGTGTATGAATACGTTCCTAATGGAACTGTTGCCGATCATCTTCATGGCGAAAGGGCAAAACCAGCAGACACACTTCCGTGGCATACCAGAATGAACATAGCCATAGAGACTGCAAGCGCATTGGCATATCTTCACGCATCTGACATCATCCATCGTGATATAAAAACCACCAACATCCTTCTCGACAGTCATTTCGTTGTCAAAGTAGCAGATTTTGGACTGTCTCGTCTCTTCCCGAATGATGTTACTCACATTTCAACGGCGCCGCAGGGAACTCCTGGATACGTGGATCCGGAGTACCACCAATGCTACCAGCTTACTGATAAGAGTGATGTGTATAGCTTTGGAGTGGTGCTCATTGAGTTGATATCATCAATGCCTGCTATTGATATCACGAGGCATAGGCATGAGGTCAATTTGGCAATCATGGCTGTTCACAAGATTCAAAACGGGGATTTGCATGAGCTTGTGGACCCAGCTCTTGGGTTTGAAGCAGATCCCAAGGTGAGGAAGATGGTTAATGGAGTGGCAGAGTTGGCTTTCCAGTGCTTGCAGAGTATGAAAGATACGAGGCCTTCCATGGAAGAGGTGGTGGAGAGGTTGAAGGAAATACAGAGTGATGGGGTAGGCAAGACCAAAGAAGAGGCGGCGATGGATATCTCAGCAGATCATGTCATGTTGCTGAGGCATGAAGCGCCTCCACTATCACCTGATTCAAATATGAGGAGCACAGGGACGACTCCAAATGCCAGCGGATAAGTTGAGCTTCCAATGAATCCCCGCCCGTAAAGTAATCAAAGTCATTGCAGAAAAAGCATCAACAGACCGCGAGCTTCGACCCATCATCACTCCAAGATTGAGATGTACATGGAATGATAAAGCGAAAGTGGTGCCTGCCAATGCTCATTTCGAAGCTATGAAGTCCCGTCCTTAAATTTTGTGGAAAACATTGATATTGTATAAACAAATCTTAACGCAGTATCTGTCGCGCTTTCTTGCTTTCGGAGTTTTTCTTTCCCCCGAGGTGGGGTGTTTTTGTATAGGACGCCGAGCGGCCTTGTATAGGTATGGCAACATTGGCGGAAGTGATTAAAGCCAAAAGCGAATGTGCTCATAAAACCTGTATATTAAGAAGAACATAATCATTATTCATACTGGTTCCTCCTTATCTTTCATTCCTTTTCACTACTAGAAACGAAAGAAACAAGATTCATATCAGAACCCGTGTCCCGGCTCCTCGAAGGAGCCATCCTAGTCTTTTTAATTGCTTAAAACCGTGTTGTTGTTATTTAATGCATTTTATTTTAATCAAAAGGCCGTGGGATTGCTTATGAGTATGACGCAGAGATACAATATGGGAGAAAAAGATGCAGAAGGACACGAATATCTTGTGTGGGTGTTATATACTCAGTGGCAGTTGAACATCGGATCGACAAAAATCAGGACTTCAACATCTTTGGTTATCAGCCGCTCTCCGTTCTCGAGCCTGGCGTCCGTTTCTTATGAATACCTCATCTAGTCTTAATGATCACTGGGTCGTTGAAATCAACTGGGCCAGAAAAGGATGAGGCTAGGTCTAGGGTTTGGCTGCTATCGCCGCAAGCATACCCATTACTCTGTTCAATCCTGTTAAAGAACGCCCAATTTCTAATGTTTATTTTCGAGAAAAAAAATTTGCAAAGAGGATTGGGTGTTATCCGATGAGTAGGGAACTCCAAGCCAAAGTTGAAAAATAGGGAAAAATGCATGGACCAGATCGATGAAAGGATGAGATTGCAGCATGCTACAGAACATTGTCTCTGATTGTTGTACATCAAGGGTCTGGTTGGTTAACGGCAAAAAAAAAAAAATCAAGGGTCTGGTTGGTTTTTGAGCAATGGGTGTAAACTTTAAAGGGCCTGAAACCGCCCACAAATGAGATTTTGTTAGAGAGGACGCAAGCCCAACCTAGCTAAGTCATACATGAACATTAGTGAATGGAGACAGAGCTCGTTAATGGAATTATGGTGGATCCACTTGTGGCTTATTTATATTGACCGTACAGTAACCGGGGGGGTCTATGATCCTTTCTAAACTAACTCATGTCTTGTACTTGCATGTTTAAAGTAGAAAGGAGTACGCAGCTAATAAATACGATAAGTTTAGGACCACTTGGGAGATCCATGGATGACAGAGCCTGAAGGCGTCATATTATCAACTTCTGATTGTGACTCCGAGAAGCTGAAAGGAAAGGTATTCCCCACTACGGTGGGATATGCTGGGTTCGAATTCAACGTCGACCACTCACTGCCTCCAGCTGCCACTCCTCCATAGCTGGCCTCTTGTGCTGATTTATCTCCAAAGAGATCGCAACTCATTGGAAGGTTCTCTGCAATTTGATCCACTGTTTCCCCTATCCATACAAATAAACATATGTACTCGCCAATCAGTACCTTGGGGTGGTATTAGTTCAAAAACAAAGATTGTTCTTAACTTGTTTGAAGAAACGGCATACCTTGAGCTAACAAGGAAACGTTATCGCTCAAAAGCCCTTCAGGCGCTGCTTCCTCCAAGGTATCCCATCGGGCGTATGCTTCTCTTACCAGCTTCTCAACATAGCTCTGTCGATATTCATTCATCACACAAGCATGCGTGTTTAATACATCTCTGAAACTTAATCATTAATTGGGGGCTGTCGGGATTATTTGTATATAGGCATACATACCCTGTTAATGTTGTTGAGGTCTCTTCCATGGAGGACGTGGCCGTTGATCTCAGCTCTGACCAGTTGGCATATGGGATTCAGAAACACCGCAAAGTGAGGCCCACGGTATATGTAGAGCTTGTTCTCCATCTTACAACTCCTCGCATGCTTCAACGTCGCTTCCCACATCTTCTCTGACATCCCTATCCCTAATATCTGATTTTGCAGGACCATATATATCACATATATGTTGTTCTTATTAATTAATCAGTGATCTCATTTTCCAGGGTATCAATAGAGAATTGAGATGAATAATGCGGATGAATTATATAATACCTCTCTGAGTCTGGCAGGGTCGACCACAGACAGCTTGAGAAACTCCTGAACATTGTTAATACCATTTGCGGACAACTTCCTGTGAAATGCCCCATCCTTCCCAATCTTCTCCAGCCGCCACACTTCGTCTTCCAACACTGGAGGATGGTGTTTTTTATACACTACATATACATCCATGTACATGATCAAAGTAAACATCGTTTAGCTATACTACATATATCTATATATAAATCATGCAGTGTGTAATTTCAGCAATATATATTCTTTTTCAAGCCAACAAAAAACATTTTTAGGGTCTCAAAAGGGTAATTCCAGTAATATATATTCCTTTTCTGGCCAACAAAAAACATTTTTAGGGGCCTCAAAAGGAGTTGAAGAACCTCAAGTAGTAATGAAAAGAGGAATATCGCAAGGGATGATTTTTATATGTATTCATTTCAGTCCTAATTAAAGATTCACCAGAGTTTATGATACGCACACTACGCACACACCTGAAAATAGCTCATATTCAACCAGATTTTGCAGCTTCGGAGCAAATTAAATTAAGGGTAGTAATATACTTGGGAAAGGTAGCAGCTTAGAGCATAAAAAAGAGCACACGCAATTATATCAATCATAATTATAATCCATTATAATACAATAAATTATGTAAAAACAGTTTGACCTTATTAATTATGCCCTAGAAACCGTTGCCGGCTGATGAGATATACGTACGTAGGACCGACAATATGTCAAACTGATTTTGGGATTATCATATTTCCACTAGACATTGGTTGCATGATTACTAAACCTCTTAATTAGCTGAAAATTATTTCGACCAAATGATCACTTTCAAGCTAATTTCCCTGTCAAGAATCAAGATACACACACACACACATAAAGGGTCGACATAAACAAAACTAGGGATGATAGCCACAATTATTGCTTGTTCCAAAGGGTGAAAGGGATGTGCAAGTGCTTCAATTATAACTATGTATACTTGAAATTTCGAAGCTAATTTTTTTTTTTAAAAATCAATCATAGCAGGTTTTTATACAAAAAATACTGTACATAAAGAATGCATGAAATCTTGATGCTTGCGGATAGCAGAGGGGGACATGCTCAAAAAAGAAGTGCATGCAAAAGTCGGACATAGCGTGAATTCTATATGCTTAAAAACAAATAAAATGGCGGCCTGGGTAAGAATTGAAAGCTTACATTCGCCTCGATGATCCTTGACGACAAAAGGTTCAGTGAAGCCTTCAAGAACCCTAGGGCCTGGATTGGTCCCAGGAACAACTCTGACAGCCACTCTGAACTTCCTACTCCTGATCCAGCTAGAGTTATCCGTAAACTCAATATCCCCTCCCAGACATGCAATCCCATTTCTCATGGTCATGTTGAGTTCTCCAGCCAGCAAGGGTCGCTTCCCAGCTCTCTCCTTCACTATGTGGTCGCTGAATTCGTTGCTCGTCCATTCCTGCTTATCAGCAGGTGGGAAATCTCCATCCAGAACCACAACTTCAAGCTTCATGGGATAATGCACGCTCGTGGGAACCCTTCGATTGCCGCTTTTGTCTACAAGAACGACCTGGATTGGGTTCCCATTAATGTCTTGTATCCTGCTTCCCGTGAATATGGGGAGACTCAGCTTTTCCTTAAAGCTCAGTTCTAGGTTTGGTGCTTCTTCTGCTGCTTGTATCCTCAGCGATGCAGACCTGGTCATCATAGATCTCGGATACATGCGTCTCATAACTCCCTCCACCTCCTCACTCACCTGTATGTCCAATATTCATATATATATATATATATATATATATATATCGCCATATTAAAAAAAGATTGATTATTTCTTTCTCATGATATATACTGCTTTTATGTTTTGTGTGTGTGTGTGTGAGAGAGAGAGAGAGAGACATACCACCCTTCTGAGCAAAGGTTCCAAGCCCGACAGAAGGTTCTGCAAGTTTTTCACCATGACTACTTCTCCTATCACCCTGTCCATTGGCAACATGCGTGGGAGATGAAGCAAGGCAAATTTATACGAAGTCTGTATATGAATAACGAAAGAGCAAGGAGATGAGTTAAAGCAAACGTACGAAGCAAGAGTGGGCCTGACGCGTTGGTGAGGGGGCTCATCTGGGTCTTGATCATCAGAGTCATCAAAGAACCGCTTGGTCGCCATTATTGTTCCAGCAGCGCAGATTTTGAAAGGTCAGGTGGTTGCACTGACGGAGAGATGAAGAGGCAAGGACGCAGGCAGGCGGGCTTCTCTTCAATTTATAAGTCTAGCGATCGGGGTAAGACTGCGGAGAGCTGGCCTCAGTAGGAAAATAACGAACAGTAGTACGAAAGAACTTTCTTGGAATGTCGGGGGAAATAGGCACGCAACTTCAACGATAACAACGATGTGACCTTGAAATTGAATCCTCGTCATATGCTGCAAAGACTTTGACGTCAACAAACACAGTTTTTTTTTTTTTAAAAAAAAAGGGCAATATAAAATTTTCAGATAATTACTTGCTCATCATCCTAAATGTATGGAAAATGTAAGCTATCAGTTATATGTTGAAAAATACGTGCAGATTCGCATAGAAAATATAGCAGAATAATGATAAAATATTCGAACTTTTTAGGAGAATTTCTGCATCAAATATATGGGAAATTCTCTCTGATAATGAATAAATGAGAGCTATATAAGTCATGGTATAAAAATCAAACATGAAACCAGTAGCCGCGTCTCATATATATGCATAGTTGAGAAGGGGGTTGATATATAGATTTTCGTGGTAGTTACATAAATGATATGATATGGTATTTGGTAGGGTTATAGTATTTGCGTGGGGAGAGAGCTGTGTGATAGAAGGGACCTGGAAGAGTAGATTCTGGGGTTTGGTCAAATGAAAGTGTGTTTCTGGGAAGCATACGATGCGTGCGGTGGCATTCCTTTGTGGCTGACCCTCTCCATCCCATCTCCACCACGGCCTTCCTTATAAATTACAACTACTGCTGCTTTCTACTCTTTCTTTTTGTGATTTTATCTCTTTTTTGCCCCCCTTACTATTTACTTCCTTTTGGGTTACACGCAAAAAGGAGGTTTCACTTTCAGCATCCAATTTTTTCTTTAAAAAAAAAACATTTGCCAGTAGTGGGGCCAACTTCCCCTAACGAGTCACGAGCGCCCTCTTTCTTCTTTCTCAGCCCAATGGGCCCTGCTCCTTCTCCTGCGTTGCTTTCCGCCGCATGATGGGCTTTGTATAGTATTGACGTGGCATGTGGATTACATGTTTCAAAAATTTATTAATTATACCAACGGGGTCGAGTCTAGCGGAAGGGGTTAGTCCCTTACAACCTAACGAATCAAGGTTTGAATCTTCACTGGGAGAGGTGCCTACATTTAGTGTCCGACAGTTTCTTGAATAAAATTGCCTTCAATAGGAGGATACCTATGCTTTAGCAAAAAAAAATATTTATTATTTAGATATTTTTGTAAAAAATCATTTTAAAATATAAATATAATCATCAAAAGCATTTTTCACTTGAAAGTTATTCTTAGAATAATTAGAAGCAACCCACAGGAGCGTTTCGAAATAATTAAAAAAAACCCTTACTTTTCAATATTTTAATTATTTTTAAAAGTTTAAACAAGCATTCTTTTTTTTTTAAAAAAAAAAGGGGTATTTTTCACAAAATTGAAAAAAATCCCTAATTCACCAACAAAAACCTATTGGATATTAGGTTTTATTTTATTTTGGTTTACGTTACTTTTCCCTCGGCTCCCTTGGGAAATTGCCCTTAACTATCATGCTTCTTTGTCTTTTAACAGTGTATCCTACGGAAACAATATTCAAAAGAAGCCGGACAGCTAGAAATATGATCTTAATATAAGCCGGACAGCTAGAAATATGATCTTAATATATTGACTGTAATAAAAAATCTAATAGCAGGAGACGGATATTCTGAATAGGCACACATGAAAGATATCAAATGTACGTGCTAAATCACAGAGGGGGCTAAATAAATAGATGAAATTTGTTTTTCAGGGCTCTATGTTTATGAGTGTTTAGACAATTAAATCAATGCACATATATCTGGTAAAAAAATCAATGCATACATAATAAAAAAACTGGATGTATATTTTAAACCCAAAAAAAAAAAAATGGATGTGCGTAGATACACACAGGTCAAATTTGTTGTTCCCGGTCCTATATATATTAGTGTTTAGAATACAATTGAATGAATAGATACAACCCAAAAAGAAAAACTGGGAATTGAGAGGAACATATTCAATTGAAATGCATCAAGTCAGGAGCAAAACGGAGGAGTCTGGTGAGAGCATGAGGAGTGAACTTTCTGGCAAACAAGTGACAAACATTGGTAGTGTGGCCATTATACTCACACCTCCTCCCTCCATGTCTCAGCCTCTTCAAGAACTCCACAGTCACGTCTGTTCTGATGAACCTGGAAGGATGCGCACCGCCCTTTGACCAGTCCACCCAGGTCAATGTCCTGTTGGAGTTTCTCCTCCAAAACTTGATGCTCACCATTGTCGGCAAGTAGTGCTCGTCACTGTAACACGGCTGCCGGCAGTACTTCTTGAACACCGGAAAGTACTGGCGATCGGAGACGATGCTGAGGGCGAGAGCACGGTCTATTTGGAACCACTGGGACCCTTTTCTCCACTGAGACAGCCGAACCAGAGGCCTCATTCTGGGGCTGTATCTGCCACGACCCACAACCCCTGGGTCATCATAGGCTTCCACGAAGGTTTTGGTGGACTTGATGAGGTAGTTGTATATTGTGGAGAAATTAAACAGGGGAATGCATGATTCTGACAGCAGAACAAAACGCTGATTCCGGAAATCTAGCAGTGCGTTGGCTAACAGACGTCTCTCTGCTTCTACCATGCTGAACCCGCCCCACTTTACTTCCTGTATACGTTATTTATTAACAAACAGTCTCATCAGCTATTAATTGGTATAAAGAACATATGAATGTGCAAGTCTGGATATACATATAAATGTTGCATGTGATGATGTGGGCCATGAAGGAATGCAGAAAGTTGAACGAGAGGGGTGTGTGGAAAAAGTAGGATTGGAAACGTAGAGGAGTGGAATTTTCTTGGGGAGCTGGGAAAGGAGTGGAATCAAAGAAAAGGATGGAATTGCTTCCTCAGCTCAACAAAAGAAAAGGGAAAAAAAATTCTTAACCTTCACATTCATTGCATCTCGTAGCTGTTTTTTTGTTTTCTTTTCTTTTTTTTTTTCCCGCACCACATTGTGTATATGATGATCACTATGGCTATATGCCTACATTGGTTCTCAGCATCCATGTTGAGTTAACCTTTCTTCCCTATTGAGAACCATAAAATGTCTCATTAATATATATGACTTTAGCATGAACTAAAGAAATTTGCGCCTTTAAGCTGACAGCAGGCTGCCTCAATTATGTCAGTATTATCTATTTTTCTTTGAAGAGAAACGTGTGAAGTATAGTAGAAACCATGATATGATATTGCAAGACAATTTGCCTCGATTCCTGGACGAATAAGTGTACAAATATGTTGTCAAAACAAAAGGTGTTTTTTTTTGGGGGGAAAAAGGTGGGTTTGTAAAATCCATTAAGTTAGGCGTGCAAGGAGGCACACCATGTGTTTGACATCATAAAGTAAGAATTAAGACCGTAGAACACGAAAAACAAAACGTAAATGGAGTTGAAAGAGAACTATAGTACTTTAGTCCATGCATGATACGGTGCCAATTCCTTGCTTGCTGGGGCAAAATCAAATCGCCCTTGCCCTTTCCTTACATTTGCAGAAAATGAATCCTACTATCGTGTCATCTGTACGTTTGTGCAACATTTGAGTGTGGAGACCCACACACACACACCCCTAAAAGCTTCTTTGTTATTGAATTTTAATTATCTTTTTATAAAAAAAAAAATCGAACAGATTTACTCAGTGAAACAGAAGAAAGAATCACTTACTGACCTTACTGGGAATTCTTCGGCCATTAAACACAGAGCTTTGAGGCAGAGTTTCGTTGAAAGAAGGATGGGAATGGACATAAATAGAGTAGAGGCCCTCGTTCCCTTTGAAGAATCTCTCCCACAGAGGAGCCAACGGCACTGGCCCTTTTGTCAAAAACATGAATGCAACCTTGGGTTTGTGTTTGAAGGGCACTTCCTTAATTGTTGGAACTAGTGAGGCTCTCCATAACAACTCTTGCTCAGTCATGTCGTGCATAGCCTCCTGATCATCGGTACTCAACAAATCTCTCAACCCATGTCGGGTGACCAAGGTGGTCGTCGTCACGTTTGTTTGGTTTGATGAGACAGGACGAGGTGGAAAGGGCGAAGAAGAAGCAAGTTGTTGTTGGATTCGAAAGCTGAGGGGCGACAAGTCTGGAAGACACAAAGCAAGGGTGATTCCAACGAGTAAACCAGAGCCAAAGAGTAAGATATGAGCAAAGAAGTTAACAAGATGGAGTTGGGGATTGAAGGAGAGCCCGAGCTTGAGATATGAGACCGAGGACGCAGGTGAAGCTTCTTCTTGGTGAGGCTTCATTGCCACGACGATGACAATATGGAATGGAAGGTTTGCACAGAAATATGAGGGTCGAAGAGATCAGAGAGGCTGAGAAGAGACTATCCTGGTTGATACATATATATATATATATAGAGAGAGAGAGAGAGAGAGAGAGAGAGAGAGTGTATGGAGTTATAGAATGCAGTAGCCGTTTCGCTGGCTAGAGAGAGAAAAAGGTTTCCATACAGAAGCCTGACCCTGGACTGAACAGATTCTTGAATTCGTCACCAAACAATACCTTATTCGGTATTTAATATAAAGTTGGCATTATTAAACAATACTTAGCTATGACAGATGGACACAAATTTGTGACTAAACCATCCAAGCATGTATATATATTTGGAAATCACACTTTTCATGGACAAATGCGGCAATGCTCTTCCAAGATCTAAATTTATCAATGCCAAAGTTATATGATACTGTCTTCGTTCAAAAGTGATATTTGAACGACGACTGAAAGTTGCAATATACATAAAAAATATATTAAAAAAATGAGTCAATTTGTATTTAATCTACTCGTATTTATTTTTAAAAATTTCAGAGGAAAAAAAGAAAAGAAAAAATGTGTTCTAATTGTCAACATTTTTCTTTTTATACCCTTTAAAATTCAAAAGTGTGTATAAATGCTACCCTTCACTCGAAAAAGTTGATTTAATAATTCAAAAAACAGTTGGCTTTATTTAGTTTAATTCGGATTTCAACTTGGAGAGAATCACATTAATAAATTGGGTATCAAGAGAGGCAAATTGAAGAAACCAATAAAAGGCGGAGAAAGGGCAAAAAGTTTAAAAGGAAAAAAATATCCACGCGATTGTATCGAATTACACAAATTGAAAGGACTGGTTATGCTCCATTTTGATCACAGAAAATGAATTGAATAGGCAAGGCAACCATTTGTTCATTAATCATGCTGGTCGCTGGAATTCTAGAGAATTGACAAAATGGATGAGCCCTACACTCAAACGATGAATCATTCCATGAAGATACCAAGATGTGCTGAGTAGTCGAATGCGCACGCAAGAATGCAAATATAACCTGAACGGTATTTTTTTGCAGGTGCAAAACGATGACCTGATAAAACCCCTAGTAGCCAAGCCCTTCCCTGCGGAGAGGTTCAAGACTTGAGATAATGCAGGAAGGCGGACAAGCCGAGCAAAATATCACCGTTAAATTCCAAGAAAAACAATAAACATTGCTTGCAGACTATCTTGCGCTCGGAATAAAACAAGCGAAGACGGAGTTGCATGTCCAGACCACCCATGAAATGATGAAATTCTCCTTATCTCTGATAGACAACACAAAGGGACCTAGCTCCAGAAACCAAATTTACTCAATTTCGAACTTCTATTTAAGAGGTGTTTAGGTGAAAACAAAACCATAATTTAAAAAAAAAATTTATGGTATACAAAGTAAATATGTGAGAGAAATTTTCTTGAAAATATTTTTTAAAAGTGCTTCTTGGGGAAACCAAGCAAGAATGAATATCATTCAGCTCTAATACAAATCCAGAGTCAAGGGAAATGCCAAAGAGAGTCTCTTAGCATATAATCAATATCAGCTACTATGGTTTAGGAGCCAAACTCGTTCACAGTCAAGATGTCACGGTACAATTTCAATATTTTATTGTAGATAAAGAAAGCCAGAATATATCCCACAAGAACATTTACTTCTCATATATGCTTCCTGTGAATGAAGGGTCAAAAACAAACATGAGGAAAAGAAATTATAGACAATGACCAAAAGAAATGTAACTAAAAATCTACAGAACTTATCTCAGGGACTGAGGGTAAAGAATACAGGTAAACAGCCTCAACCAATGAGAGCGGGTAACCATAAACAAAATCAAAAACAAAATTTCTGGACACTACAAAAGAAAGTCTGGAATTACTGGGTTCTGTGGAGCCACATTCAAAGGCGAACTGGATCCTTGACGAGATTTATGCTTATTATGGCGATGACTACTCTTTTTCTTTCCCCTTTGATCATGTTCTTCCCCTTCAATAGTCTCCCTTGAACTTCTTCTCTCTTTATGACGACTATGGTGTTTGCTCTTTAGATTTGGATTTGCCAGGCCAGGCATTTCAGCACCAACCAAGTTTTCTTTGATCTCAGATGGATGATGCGTGCTTAGATTCTTTTTCTCTTTCTTCATGTCTAATGGCTTGTCAGAAGGATTACTTCGAGATGAACTAGGTTTGGCTTCACTTCCCAAAAGAATATCTCTCACAGCACCAGAAAGTGAATCATCTCTTGGCACAGGCTTCTTGACTGAAATTGGTACCACATCTCCATCATCCAGTTTCACCACCACAGGCCTGGGCTTCGTCTGGTTTGGCCTTTTCTTCAAATTAAGAGATTGTCCTGCTAACTTGGCTAGATCTTCAGATTCATTGTTTAAGTTACTCTTTTTCTGAGGGTCATTAGCCGGAGGATAATGATCAGAAATAATCTCATTCTTCTCTGAAGGAAGGTAATATAATCCATGCCGCTTCCGATGTTCCAGCAAAGATGTAGATTCATTCAATGGCTCCGCCTCCTCCTCTTTCTTTGGAAGATTAAATAGAGAAGCATCAGAATCAGTGCCAAAATGAAGGCCTCCTATGGAAAATGAACTAGAAGAAGGCGGTTCAATTTCACCACATATTGCTTTTAAGTCGTCAAGATTCTCATTCAGAACTAATCCCTCTGGTACAGCAACTCTTCCTTGAGCACTTAATGAGACTGGACCGAGCTCGTTGGAAAAAGCATCACACATCAATTTAACAATACCTGAGACTCGAGCATCTTTTTTGTCCAAGATGCCCACATTCGGATTGGAATTATCAGATATTTCAGCTTTAATTAATTGAACAAAAGAAAGTACATTCCGTGCTCTCTCTAGTACTTCAACATCCTGATTTGCTGCAAGGGGACTTAAAACTAAATCAATTAGATTTAAGAGACCAACAATAGATTCAGGTGTGAAATTGTTCTTCTCCAGAGAAGTAGCAAATGATGTCTGATCCTGAGAAACATTTCCCTCTGCATTGTTTTGAACAGCAAGCTCCTCAGAAGAGTCCATTGTACTTTGCGGGCTAAAGCCCTCATTCCGAGCATCATGTATTGGATCATCACATGATGCCAAATTAGGAGTCTCTGTGTGCTTTTTCCCAGGAACCAATCCAGAATTCCCCACAGCCGAATTGCTGGAATCCAATGAAGGCGCATGCCCGTCATTTTGCATAAGATAACAATCCAGACAAAAAACTAATATTTTAAAAGAAGAATGAATATAGACTGCCCTCACTGATGGTGGCAAGAGATTTGTACGAGGTTGAAGTAGAGCATCCATCAGTTCGAACGGGTTACTTGCAACCTCAACATATTCCCCAACAACCCAAGCAGCAGCACATAATATCCTATGCAAATGCACATTACCAAGTAATGCAGGGTCTATCAGCAGATCACGAGCAACCCGAACAAGCTCCAATCTAGCATCCTTAACTCTCATACCAATGTCAATAAGCTGGCTCTCAATTTCTTCACCCTTTTGGCAATTTGGAATCCTTGACATTTCTCCAAGGAGTGAAACATACCAATCAAAGTCAATAATGATCTCATACACATTTTTACTACATGTTGTTAAAATGGAACCCAAAATCTCATTGCAAAATTCTGGGTCAGACTTCAATGCATAATTGACCAATACCTTTGATATCTCTGCCACGTTGCTCTCTGACACCATAGCCATAACCAGGCGCAGACACTCAAGTTTAATATTAGGATCTTCATCACTCAATGATTTGATCACAACTTCCTGGTTTTCCAAGACCGCCCACAGGTGGGTTGGTGCAACGTCTGAAAGGGCATGAAGTCCAAGAAATCTGAGATTTGGATCCGGATCAACCAGCAACTCCCCAATCTTTGAGACAGCCACTTTGACTGCAGACTCATAATTACTCAAGCTGGTGACCACAGTCCTGACGCACTCAAACATTAAGGACTTCGCCCCAGTTCTCCTCATAAGTTCACAAACAGGTTCAACTATCCTTTTAGCCAACCTCGGTTCAAGTGGAGCCAACTTGGCAAATATTTTTAGTGTCTTTATTAGAACCCAGTTGTTCCTAGAATCGATCAAAATCCTGAAAAACTCAGGCGCCAATGGAAGATATGATCGGGGATCTTTTGAAGAGAGCTCACAAAAGACCCCCACCACCGCAGTCACAATCTGTGAATCCGAATTCTCTAAATTCTCAACTAAGCGCTTAAAGCACACCCTAACGGCATCAGGGTATTTCTCAAAAACCCTTAAGATCACCCCAATCGCTTTCTTCCTAACAAAAACCTTGCTGCTGGACAGCAATGTGAACACGTCTGGGGTTAAATCTCTAGCAAGATCAATCGTGGCAATCCTCGATAAGCATTCAAGAGCAAGACTTACCTCAAACTCGTTAGGGCTCGAGAGATCTTTGCGAAGCTGGTTGGTAATAAGAAGTAGAACAGGTGTACCCTCGTGAAAGGACTGGGAAGCAGCGAGGTACCCGATTTTTTTATGGGCAAACCGTGAAGATGACATGACCTCGACGACGTGAAAAGCAGCCCACGACATGTCGACGCCGTAAATTGCACTGAGGTAAGATAACTTCTGAAGAGCAATGGACTTGGTGTCGAGATCGGTTGCCTTGATCTCACGGCGAATCTCCTCCGCGGCCTTTGAAATGAGGGCAGACTCGCCGACGAGCTGGAGGCGGAAACCTTTGATCAAATCCTCCAAAGTGCGCTGGAAAAGGTTGTCCATGATCGAAGAACCCGCCATCAAAGGAGGACAAGGTGAACAAATTTGATTCACGGCAAGCACAATTGGAAGATGAAAAACCAATAGGGGACCTAGGAATTCATGGCCGCAAACAGCAGAATTGAGCGGAGATTCGGATTAGAAAGGGGTCGGAGTCGGCGATGCGCCAACGCCCCATTTGATTTGATTCGGGGAGCAAAGGGGT